CTGAATTCGGTGGTGGTTCTGTTGAGTCTGTTTGATGGCGTCGAGTGATCAGCAAAGGCTGGGACCTTTGAGCGTGGTATGAGGTGAGGAATCTGGGTCAGTGAGCAAAGGGTGGGTCCTAGAGAAAGAGTGGGGGGACCAGGTTAACTGCCGCCTACATTGTGCATTTAGTTTGCTACCCCGGGCACCAGCAGCCAGAAAATCTCTGTGGGTGAACTTCTGAGTACTCTTTTATGCTGCTAACAACCCTCCACAAAGCTTCCGTCCGATGGGGCTAAGTTTTTCTTAGGCCGTGTGAGGCTGGCAGAATGGAAATTGACTTGTTCCTGTCCCAGAAAGGCTGCAGCCTACTGAGTTTAACCTGAGCCTCAAGGAGCCATCCAATCCTGCCCGATCCCCCAGGGTTTGCAGAACAGAGTCTCAGTGGGAGGCTCTGCGGCCAGGGAACAGTGTGCCGCTCCGCTCTTTCTCAAAGTTGACTCTGTACCGATATTTAATAAATGCTCCTTTGGTGCCGTCTCCGGGTCTATTATTTAAACTTGGAAAATCAAAGCTCTGTGCCTTCTGAAGAAAGATCCCTTGACTCGCCGTGGGAAACCGTATAAATATTGATTTACATTCCCATGACAATGGCCACGGGGGCTGTTTTTCACAAAGTTCAATTTCCATTACTTTGAAAGACAGCCCTCAGCTGAGGCTCTAGGAAGCACAGCTATTTTCCTGGCTGCCTGCAGTCTTCTCTTCATTGTCTTCCTCTTCTTCCTCCACCCTCCTTTCATTCCTCTTCTTGTCGACGCTACCGACATTGTCAATAAATGAAGCCCCGGGCTCAGAGGTCAGCAATAACCCCTCTCTACCAGCTTGCATGGTTTGGTTGTTTTCAGGCTGTTTTCACAAATGTTGTCTACTTCGGCACAAGTTATAACTCCAAGGAGCAGATAGGACGAGCGTCTCCCCACAGAGGAGAAAACAAAGCCCCCTACCCAGGACAGTCCTCTCCCCCTTAAGAATCGCTGTACACATATGGCGGACATTTAAATCTGCTTTATGAATGCAACACTTTATTTATGGAAAGCTCTGCTAACTAAACTGCTTCGAGGCAGGGGCTCAGAAGCAGAGAGCTCATCTAGCATGTGTGAGCTTCTGGGTTTGAACCTCAGCACCAAAGGGGGAGGGAGGGAGGGGGGGAGGGATTACCATAGACCAAACTGGTGTTGAAAAAGCCTGGCTTTTCTTTTTGATTAAAACACAGGTCAAACAGAGATTACAGAAAATAAGTCCAGAATGAAGCAGCCAGTGAGGACCCTGCCTGGCTCCATTTTGAAGGCAGTGTGATACCTTAGTAAAACCCCCCACTCTATCCCCTACAGACAAAGAGAAGCTTAAACCAGGATTCGTAAGTGTAAATAAGAACTTAGACCCCTTTTCCCCAGGTGGCTGTATCTGCTACAGGGACTTTGAAAAACACAGTCAAGGATATTTGACCAAAAGACTAAAAAGGGAGGCAGGTTAAAATAAATTATATGGTCTGTGCCTTTAAGAACTAGCCTCACAAAAAAAGGGGAGTGCTCCTTCCAACCTCCCTGCTGTGAGTGAGAGATTTAGAAGAGCCTCCCTGGAGGCTTGTAAACTTAGAAAACACCTTACTTTTGCATTCTGTACCTAAAGTCTCCAGTGGTGGCTTTGGGGACTGTGATCTAGGCACAACAAGACCCTCACTCTATTGTCTCAAAAAGGGGGCCTTAGACAAAGATATCTCAATATAGATAGACCCAGGCCAGTTTCAAGTCCCCAGAAATGATGGCGCCAGCCCCAGGAACAAAAGAACAGAGTCAGGATGTCTGATGGTAACCAATTAACCACGAGATACCCCTCTCCAGAGATAACATGACCAGACCCCGGAGATGAGTTGTAAAACTCCTGACAGGGCAAACAGATAAGATAAAATAAGATAAAGTCCAGGCCCGGGAAAAACTGGGCCAATCAAGGATGGACCCGTACTAACCCCCTCCCCTCTAAGAAATTTTATGGGTTTTGCCTATAAAAACTAACTTCCCCAAGAAACAGGGACTCCTCCCTGCCTCACTGTATTGGGTGTAGGAATGAGTCCCTGTCTAGACTTGTATCTGCAGAATAAACCTTGCTGTTGCATTCTGGACATCCAAGGTCTTTGGTGGTCTCTTTGGGGGGTCACAATCTGGGCATAACAGGCAGGAGCCATTATGCTGTATTGTTAAAACTATGTTTCTATTTACTGAGTTGCTCTCTGTTTCCTGGAACCTGACCTTCCCCAACCAAGGAACTAGGAAGCCCAGACAGGAGGGAAAGGGCTGTGACCCCAGCAAACTTGCTGGGAAGCCTGTATCTGAGCTGTCAGGAGAAATGAGACTTCCAGGGTGGGGACTGGCCAGACTGAGGACAGGTCTAGAGCAAGTCTGCAGGTCTGCACTCCGTTTCTCCTCTTCTGACCTCTGCCCTTTGCCATCTCTTTCACTGCGGTCCAACTGTTCCCCACTGGTTACCAGAAACACCCACCTTCCAGACTCGGCTGGGCTGGCCCTCCACCTTGAGCTGAGCAGCTGGATTCCTGACTGCTGGTGTACAGTCTGAGCTCTGTGCTGGAATCCAGCTCCAGTGGGGTTCGGGTTCCAAAGAGGAGGCGTGGAGGAGACTGACACAATTTGAGGGTGAATCGGGATGGCTGTCACTTTATTGAAAAAAGGCTACACCTTTTATACCCTTTAATTACAGAACAGTTTAGGAGACTCAATGATTCAGAGATAAAAGCAGCCACTAACTTTTTTTATATAAATTTATTTCTTTGTTTTTATCCCAGTTGCAGTTTCCCCTCCCTCCCCTCCTCTCCTCTCCGTCCCTCGCCCCACCCCCACCCCCTATTCCCACCTCCCAGTCCACTCCTTTTCCGTTTCTGTTTCGAAAAGGACAGGTCTCCCATGAGTATCAACAAAACAAGGCATATCAAGTTGCAGTAAGACTAAGCACCTCCCCATGTATTAAGGCTGGGCAAGGTGACCCAGTATGGGGAGTAATAGGTTTTCTAGCCCCCCATGCCCCTGTACCCCATAATAGGTTTCTCAGCCGATGCAGTAAACCCAATCAAGCTGAACTGAAAAAGTATAAGAACAGGTTTATTTGGGCAAAGCAGCTCCTGGTGGGTTCTCCAATCCCAGAGATCGAGGCAGGAGAAGCCACGCACCTCAACTAAAGCAGGGAGATTATATAGGTTGTAGTCGAGGGGTGATGATGTGTCTGTCACAAGCTGGGTTTCTGTCCAAGTGTGGTCAAACCTGAAGGCTTTGGGTGGGGACTTGGGTGGCTGGTGACTTCAGGGGAGGAGCCACCATTGCTGCCAGGAATGTGTGCAGAACTAGGCTTTCTGGTGCCTTCCCTTTGTTTGGAGATACTCCGAGTTGGTGAAGTTTGGAGAGACAGGATTGGGGCTTTCCAGATCATGCAGGGGTGAGCTGGAGGTTCCAACCAAACAGGGAGTAAGGTCACAAAAGCTGGGAAGAGAGTCAGAGATGGCCCTTCTTCCCACTGTTAGGAGTCCCACAAGAAGACCAAACTACACAGCTGTAACATATATGCAGAGGTCAGTCCTATGCAGGCTCCCAGGTTGTCGGTTCAGTCTATGCATGTGGCCATAACTTTATTACAGCGGTTTTCCTGAGACAAAGGCTTTAAGTCCAGCAAGTGTCTAAATGCCTATTGTTCTCTAAGGTTCAGTAACTCCTCCAGGCTCACTCTTACATCAATGGAAGGACCACAAGTTCCTCCTGCCAAAGATAAAGAGAGTAACTCTCTTTAGCAAGCAGAAACTTTCCTCAAGCCCCTGAAGGAATGGAGGCCCCTATTCAAGTACCTGACCTTGGGAAAAGAACTTCCTGTGAGGACCAGACACTCCACTATAGAATACTGCAGTTTTGTGTATGGCTTGGTTTATCCAAATAGCTAAAGCTTAAAGTGAGCAAAGACAAAGCTAGACAAATATTATCATGAACTTGAGTAGACCTTAGGAATTTATAAATCTTGATCAAATCTACCGTATTTATTAAACAAATCTTATGTTGGGCTGGAGCTTCCAGATCACCTCTGTACAGTACAGAAAGCCCCATTCCTGCCCCCTCCTTTCCAGATCCTGCCCACTCAGAGTCTCTGAACAAAGGAAAGGCTCCAAAAAGCCCAGTTCTGCATTCTTGGTGACTATTGTGACTCCCTCCACTGATGCTGCCAGAAGCCCAAAGTCCCTGCCTAAAGCGTTCAGCTTTTGACCACACTTGGGCAAAAACCTGGCTTGTGAACATGTCATCACCTCTCGCCTACAAGCTGTATAATCTCCCCACTTTAGTTCGGCATTCGGCTTCTCTGAGAAACGAGAACCAGCCTGGGGGTTGCTTTGCTCAATATACCCGTTGTTATACTTTTTCTTTTCTTTTTTTTTTTTTTTTTTTTTTTGGTTTTTCGAGACAGTGATTCTCTGAGTAGCTTTGCGCTTTTCCTGGAACTCACTTGGTAAACCAGGCTGGCCTCGAACTCACAGAGATCCGCCTGGCTCTGCCTCCCGAGTGCTGGGATTAAAGGTGTGTGCCACCACCGCCCAGCAATACTTTTTCAATTCAGCTTGATCTGGCTTACTGCATCAGTGGAGAAACTTATTATGGGGTGGGGGAGAGCAGAAAACCTATTATCTTATTTATCAAATATCTTTATTTATCAAGCATATGTTACTTATCTAAAATTTCTAGCAGCCTGATGTTAACTTGTATGGGAGTAGGCAGAGTTATTATGCTATATGGTTCTACGGTGGTGGCGATTTTTTTCTGAAGAATTATTTTGTTTAAAGATGCTGTCATTTTATACATTAAAAAAAAAGATTTATTTATTATGTATACAGCATTCTGCCTGCATTTTTGCTCACACACCAGAAGAGGGCACCATATCTCATTACAGATGGTTGTGAGCCACCATGTGGTTGCTGAGAATTGAACTCATGACCTCTGGAAGAGAAGCTAGTGCTCTTAAGCTCTGAGCCATCTCTCCAGCCCCCATTTTATACATTTTTGTCTTTCAAAGCCTGCACAAAATTTCCCAGAGGAAAAGGTATAAGGGAACACAGAGTGAGAATCACTAAAAATGAAAGTTAAAGGGTGCTGGAGAACTGTGATCCACAAAGTCAAAATGCCAGCACTTTGTCAGGCACCAATGGTCACCACGTGGTCCAGGCCAGCTCTGGGTGCAGCAGGAAGGGGAACCACCCCATCCACAGGAGCTTCCCAGAGTTGGAAAACCTTAAGGGAGCCAGAGAGAAAAGTGCTCCATGGAAGACTGTGAGTCTTTCTACAGGTCAGTCTGGGGCCTCAGTGGCAGAAGCTGGGGAAAGGAGGGACCAGAGGTGCCTAGCAATGACAATAGAATCCCAGTAACTGGAGCTGGGAAGAAGAGCTGGGGGAAAGGCAGGAGGGGGAGGGGGCTGGAGTTAGGATGGTGAGGGAAAGTTTCCACATAAAGTCAGAAGGGCTCCAGCACATCCTTGGGTCAGATGAGGGCAAGCATGCTCTCCCGATGTAATCGGTGAGTGATGACGGTGCTGAAGGGGAGGCAGAAACAGGAGGCCGTTGGGGAAGTGCCGTAGAGGAAACACCACCCTGACAAATCACACAGCAGAGAGAGAGGCCTCGGCCACAGTTCCAGGTCCATTACTGTGGGGAAAACAGCAACAGAAATGTGAAGCAGCTGTCAAGAACAGAGAGATGAGAATCGTGCTGTGTGGCCTCACTCTGCTGAAGACGTGGGACTACGGCTGAGCCCTTTACTATCTGGCCTCTAGCCACCTAAGCTTCTCAGTGTGTCTGTTGTCCGGCCCCAATCCCTACACTCCACGACTCCCTCATGCAGCCATCCCCATCCCAGAAGCTATGGCTGCATGGACCCACGCTTCTGGTTGGTTTTTGGTTTCAGTCTCCCTGAGTATTTCAGCCTCAAGCACTCTGCAGTTTCAGGATGTCACCTGGTGTCTTAATTAGGGTGTCTATTGCTGTGAAGAGACACCATGGTCACAGCCACTCTTATAAAGGGAAAACATTTAATTGGGTGGCTTACATTTTCAGAGGATTAGGCCATTATCACCATGGTGAGACATGACGATGTGCAGGCAGACGTGGTGTTGGAGAAGAAGCTGAGAGTCCTACATCATGACTTGCAGCCAACAGGAAGTGGTCTGACTCACTGGGAGTGGCTTGAGCATATATGAGACCTCAAAGTGCACCTCCACAGTGTCTCACTTCCTCCAATAAGACCACACCTACTCCAAGAAGGCCACACCTCCTAATGGTGCCATTCCCTTTGGGGGCCATTTTCTTTCAAACTGCCACATTCCACTCCCTGCCCCCCAAAAGGCTTATAGCCATATCATGATGCAAAAATGTATTCAGTCCAACTTCAAAATTCCCCATAGTCTATATAACAGTCCCAAACTTATTTAAGAATCTAAAGTTCAAAGTCTCTTTTGAGATTCATTGCAATCTCTTAACTGTAATCCCCTGTAAATCAAAATAAAAAAGCAGATCGAATACTTCCAACATATAATGGCACAAGATATACATTATCATTCTAAAACATAGGGAAGGGAGCATAGTGAGGAAATACTGGACCAAAGCAAGACCAAAATCCAGTTGGGCAAATTCTAAAACTCTGTATCTCCATGTCTGATGTCAAAACACTCTTTAGATCTCCAACTTCTTTCACCTTTGTTGACTGCAACACACTTCTTTCCTGGTTCCACTCCCTATTAGCAGCTCTCCTTAGCAAGCAACCCATGGCTCTGGCATCTCTAACATCTTGGGGTCTTCAAGACAATCCAGGCTTCAACTTCATAGTTGGACACAATGGCCTCTCTGGGTCTCCATTCAGGGAACATCCCTGACACACACCTGGTATCAGTGGCTTCCTTAGTGGCAGAGGCAAATTCCACAGCCCCTTTCTCCTATCCTTAACTCTAAAGCCAGAACCACGTGGCCAAAGCTGTCAAGTTCTGCTGTTTGCTGGGGTTGGGACATGGCCCCCTCACTCAATTACATCTTCTCCAGCTTTCTGCTTTCAATGGTTACCTTCACTGCCGAAGCTTGGCTGTCCTGAAACTGCATCTATAGACCAGGCTGGCCTCAGAGATCTGCCAGCCTCTGCTTCTAAATGCTGGGATTAAAGGTGTGCACCACCACACCCAGCTCTAAGTTTTTCTTTAATTCCTTTTCACAAGTTGGAAACTTAGATGGGTAGGATTTTTCCCTGAGATCACCATGTTCCCTTTATGCCATTTCTTAATCTGTTTATCTTCTTGAACACAGGACTTAGCGCCATTCCACTTTCTGGTGCTTCTTTTCTCCTCAAATATTTTTCCTTGTTCAGCTTGTTCCTTTTCATTATTTATCTTCATTAGAGTTAACACTAGTAACCACACAACCGAATCTAAAATAGGCTGTTTTTTTTTTTTTT